CCCCTTAGAAATTTTTATAAATGTGCCCTAAAATGTTGCAAAAATCGGTGGATATGATATGTTTTAAAAAAGAATAGAACTCTACAACATTAAAACTAAAGACATATTCTATTAACTAATAGAGCTATATTTTTAAAAGGTAGGACAGAAAGTGACTTCTATATTTTTAAAATTTTAGAGTATATAGACATTCAGTACTGTACTCTTTTGCATTCCTGTACTGTATGGTCTACAAAAATAATTTTTTTTTTAAAAAAGTCATACATCAACATACAGTACACAGCACCCCCACCAATCGAATGGATTCTGTACTCGTAACATTTAATATAGAAATGCTGATTTGCAGATCATACAATACAGGAATGCAAAAGTGTACAGTATTGAATGTCTACCAACTGAAAATTTAGGAGGTCTTTAGACTGAGCCAACTATATAAGTTTTGTTCAAATTATTATTATTGCCATGGATTCTGGTTAATTTAACTGATTAAATTGTTAAAAATAGCTTTAACGAGCAACATTTGTTGGTAATTTACAACAAATTTATGCATCAAAAATCTTAATGATCCATCTATGAATGAGAGAAATGTTGATCAATTTATTATAAAAATATGGGGCAGATTTTATATTAAAAGATTGACAAAAAAAATATTCTACATCCCCATTACACAATAAATATTTATTCTATGCAAAATTAATTTTAAAATGTCAATGGAAGAACAAAGTAAGCAAGCTTTCTGCCAACCATTTTATACTTGGAAATCAATTTTGGATAATTCCTCATGTTTTTTTTTTCACTATTTAATGTCATAATGGTCCATATTTTAACTTTAAATGTGTTAGTATATTGATTGGTGTTTAATTTCACAATAAGAAAATGTGTTTATTAAAATAGAAAAAAAAATTGTATAATATTATGGACTTGCTACATTTAAAAAAAATTTATCTAGTACTAGTGGGATAGGAGTATATTATAAACATTATAAACTTTTTGTTTAACTAGTTATCATTCACAGACAGATTGTTGATTAAATTTTTAAATCAATAAAAATAAACATATATTAAATGACTATTATCCTGACAATTTAACCAATGAATGTGCAGAACAACATATTAAATAACATGTTCACCTAACATTAAAAAAAGGTTCTTCAATTAATTAGTTTTTTTCTAAAAAAAAAACCATCACCAAGTAAAAATAAACATGCTAAATGACCATTACCCTGGAAAACTTAACCAATGGATGTGTGAAATAACATACCAAATAACATGTTCGCATAATGTTAAAAAAGTTCTCCAATTAATTGAATTCTTTTTTTTTAATTTTTTTTGGAAATTCAAAAAAAAAAACTCTAAAAAGATCAATAAATAAACATTTAACAAATATTTTCAATAAAAAAGCTTCTTCTATTCTTTGCTATAATTTTTACTAATAATTATACAATAATTTCCTGGAAATACAAGCTTTTCTATTAATAAAATTAATTTCAAAATAAATTTTATATAATTCATGAAATTAAGACTATATACATCAAAGCTAATCAACTTACTTCAAATCTATGGCAAAATAAATTACTTAGGCAATTGTTTATGAAGTATTAATAATAATAATAATAATTCTGTATTCAATACGAATGTTGTTACACAATAATTTATATATCAAAAGGACCAAAAAATTCTACATCCCCCATTATAAGCTTTTTTTCTTTAAATACAATGAACAAAAAAATTATATATCAATAATATTTGAGATTTTTTACATATATATATTGTAAAAAAAATTATGTAGTGGAACAAAAGCATAATACAACTTTTCGTGCAAAGTTATCGAATTGGACATTTTTGTGTCAATTTTCCCCCACCGATCACTATGTACAACTCACTCATTCATAGACGGATCGTCAATTAAAATTTTGAGGAAAGCTTTGATTTGAATGTGGAAAGTTTCTATTGTTTTATTATTTATAGATGGTGGAAGGCTCAAATCATACTTGTGTTTTTTTGCAAAATTACGTAAAATTTCTGTTGTTTGTTTCCAATGGTTTTGGATAATTTTAATATTGGGAGGATTAAAATTTTTTTTGTTGAAATCACGGATTATTTTATTAATTTTTCTAATTTCTCCATTTATTTCTGTCAAATTTTGTGGCTTTTTTTCTTTGCTTTGTATTGTTGATGTAGAATTCCAAATTTTTTTCTTAGCAGCATCCTTGATACATTTTTGAATGGAATCCCAAATACGATTTAAGTCAGCTGTATTTGAAATAAGAGTAGGAAATATGTCTTTACTTAATTTGTCTACATAATTTCCATAATCATCCCATTCATCTTTTGTCATTTTATCATAATGAAAGATTGTTTTTTTCATTTGTTGTTGTCTAAGGGTTGCATGTTGTTTATTTCCTATTAAATTATATGGAAATAAATTTAAGTATACTGCTTTATGATCAGTATTGAAAGTATCTATTTCATAAAGTTCACTGTTAATTGATTCTAATATTAAATCCTGTGAGATCCAAATATAGTCAATCCTGCTTGAACTCTTATTTGAGCTTTTTGGAAAGAAAGTGTGATATGGTTTAGAGGGTGTAATATTGTGGAATAATGAAATGGTTTCGTTTAGATTGTATGTTTCCAATTTGTGGAAAATGTCATATCTCCAGTTGTGAGATCCTCTGGAGTGATAGGTAGACATCAGGAAAACGTGTTTTTTGATACATATATTATATGTATATTATACATGTATTATTTTACATTACAGGTGATCTGCATATAATATATGTATAATTCGTGTGTAATTTATGGACATGTGTATTATATGTATATTATATGAGGATCACCTGTAATGTAAAATAATACACATATAATATACATATAATATGTGTATCAAAAAAAACACATTTTCCTGATGCCGATAAATATTTTTCATAATTCATATTGAAATCTCCCATTAGTATAATTTTGAAATGGTTTTTTTGTGAGTTTTCAAGAGTACTGAAAATATATTCATGAAGGTTTTTGATTTCTTGTTGGATTCCTGTGGTGTTGGCATGTAAATTAATTTGAATGATTTGTAGTTTGATCTTCCCTTTCAAGAATAGATCAATGTATATTACTCTGCCTTTATGTTTAGTTACTTTTTGTACATATTTTGCAAGTTGTTTCGAAAGGAGTATTCCAACACCTGTGCCCATTGTTGTATTATTATCATTATTAAAATAGGTGACAAACTCTTGGTGTTGTTTATAATATGTTTTGAATTTTTATTTGCAATTTTTGTTTCAGATAATCCTAAACAATCTATATGATTTGAATTCATCATATCAACTAATTGTTGTTGTTTAGCATATGAGTTTAGACCTTGTATATTTAGAGTCATGAAGCGGAAAGGAAATTGTATGTTTCGATTTTGATTATTATTATTTTGATTATTAATATTATGATTAATCATTAATGATGATAAGGTTATAATGTTGAACATTATTGGGTAGAAGCAGTAGGGAAGGAAGGATCGTGATCCATTTCTTCTTCATCTTCTTCTTTTTCTTCCGCTATTGTATCATTGTCATCACTTTCTGTGGGTGAAACAGAATTCATGAAATTGTAGATTCGATGCAAAATATTAGCTTGTTTTTCAATTTGATTTTCTAAATTATCTTGTCTTGCTAATAATTGCTTAGGTGAAGGTATTTGTTCAGTTTCTGAATCTTGTGTATCAGAAGATGATGATGGGGTTACTTCAGTGAAATTGCGTTTATGTTTAATGGGTTGTTGTAATGTAGTTTTAAGTGGTGGTTGAGTTGTATTTATGATTGGTGTTGGAGTTATAATCAATTTTGGAGCAACATAAATTTCTATATCTTTTCTCATTTGTTTCATCTCTGCTCTCAAACTTTCTAAAGCCTTGTTAAATTGCATAATTTCATTTTTCAATTTTTCCAATATGGCCTTGTGTTTTTCTTCTAGATGACCATGAAAAAGATTTCCTTTGGAGAAGATATCTGATTTAACATGATTTTGGTCATTCTTTTTGTGGTTGGAGCATAGTTGTTGTAAGGAAACCCTTTTTCCTTACGTCAAAATACTATATAATGTTTTAATTATTAAAAAAATACAAGTTATACAAGT